TGGCATTTCTAGCCATTGCACTGCCCTTTACTAGTACCGCACACAGCATTGTTGCTGTTTCCTTTTTGTTATCAATGTTAAACTGTTATCATTAAAGTACAGATCAGACTTTGTTTGAGTTCGCTTCGGCACGTATTTAAAAGTCACGTTGGCAATCGTTCATTAAATGTTGCTTTGCTTGATTTGTGTAACGGGCCATCGGGGCGTATGCGTAACAATGCCGTGCCCGTGCCCATGCCCGTGCCAATGGCTGATGAAGTCATTTTTCAGCCATACTCGATTGTATTTTAATTTAGTTGGTATGTGCCGACAGCATCGGCAGACACAGCAGCCACCAGGCGCTCACTCTGCGGTCGTATTCAATTTGTCGAGTTGGCCAACAGGCGCCTCTCTACGTGACGTTCAAGTGATAATCATAACAATAACACATTTGCCATAAGTGTTATGCCTTTTCCATGCCTTGCCATGTCATGCCATACCATCAATCCACTATCAAACTCCCACACTCCCATAATCTCACTCTCGGCAATGGCGGATTTGTTACGCCTGATTATTTCATTAAGTTTATGGCCGTCCTTTGTATTGCAATTTATTCCCATGTACAAATATATAGTATACAATAAGTACACTCAGCAAAAATTCTACGACAATGGTTCAGCTTCCGAAGTTGCTTTACAGGCTTGAAGAAATTAGGAAACAATCTTTTCTAGAAAGTGAATTTTATGAAGCACAACTGAAAATTTCGATCAAATTCTGAGATACTTTTAAGTAATAAGAGTTGTATAGTTAAGAATTTGAGGTATTCTAAAGAAGTTCAATTAAATGATAACAAATAAATAAATGAGAAACATAATCTCGGATTTCGAATTTTATTGATTATTCATAATCATGCAGAAATCAAAATGTCGAACAATCCCAATGAATCCATAATAAGCTCGAAATTTTATAATACAAGCAAATTTGTCAAGTCAAATCAATTATAATACAAATTATGATCCTTACTTAGGAGACTTTTCTATAGCTCTGTAAGAATTGTAAGAAGCACTTGAACTACATTTAATTAGTTATTAATCATTCTCAAAATTATATTATCAAAATGAAAGGAAACATGAGAATGAATTCAATTTTCGACTATGAACATAAATAGGCAACATTATTGGAAAAGCAATAGAATTAATGTTAAAGTGAAATGCAGTGTTTCAAGGTTGTAAAAAGTACTTTTAAAGATGTTCGTTGTATTGCATATTATCAAAAATTGAACAAAATACTTGATTGTGCGAGTGTAGTTGAATATTTGTTTGTGGGAGGAAGCTGCACACTGAGAAGCCCCGAGTGGCGCGTTCAGCACGAACAATGCAAACAAATTTGACTTTGCCTGTGGCACGTTGCGGCAAACTTTTGCCTATAGTGGTTGTTCGAGTTCCAAGTCTAATTCAGGTCTATGTTGACATTTGGCTCGGGTTGAAGGACAACGGCTGTGAAGATATGAAGCCGTAAGGCTGCTAAAACAAAAACAAAGGCTAAACCAAAAATACAACCACAACTACTTAGCTGCTAATATTCTCAAGTACAGCTATAGAAACCAAATAAAATATAGATGCGTACATTTTTATGTAATCCTCACCTAATGATGAGTTCGCGACGAATACGTTAACACATACATACATATATGCACGTTACGTATATATGTGCTCGTATGTGTCTAAAATTGGCGTCTTCTACATTTGTTGGTACGCGCCTTTATTACTTTTATTGGCCATCTCTGTCTGGTTATACCATATAACCAATTTTAGTTGGACAGATAACATTTCAGACGATAACGAATCAGTCGCATCATTTACGAATGTTAGGCGAAAATATAATAATTTCAACATTATTTGTCTGTGCACGGTTCGTTAATTCGTAATAATGCTGCAAAAATATTAAATACCACATGTTGATGAAGTTGATGAAGGCATAGAGCTGCAGTTTGCAATATTTTTGAAAAAGCACAATTGGCAATAAAGCCAAAATGGGCTTTAAGTATGTACTTTTTTTTGTTGAACAAAAGAAGTAACAAACATTGTTAGTTTGATTGAAATTGTTTTTAATAAGAATAATTTTAAATATATTATTTTGTTGCAGGTTAAGGCTCAGTTATAATACAAATTATTTTGAGTTATTCAGCAGCATTTAATAGCTTTGAACAGTTTTTTAACACTGAGCTTTAATTCCTTAAAATGATTTCAATATAATCATTTATCATTTTTAATTCTTCAAAAATATTTCCAATATAATATAATTTTGTAAGACTTTCTTTTCCATTGCTTTAATTGTGGCAAACAAGTACAAACAATCTGATACAAATTATCGACTGCACTCGACTTGCTAATAACAAATGTAGGGAAAAAGTAAAACGTAATTAAATTCCTTTAAAATCGATTATATATCATTAAAATTTGTTTGCAAGCTATTATAAGTTGGCAATAACTTTTGCACAAATACATCAACTGATTGATATTTGATTTTATTTTTTTTTAATTCTCAATGCTAATAGTGTTTTTTTTTCTGTTTTTTTTTTGTACATTTTTAAACTTGACTTAATTATTAACTGATGTTGCAACTGAAATTGTGGGATTTCAGCTAGCCCGTTGAGCTATGCCCCATTAACATTCTAAATTTGATAAAACACAGCTTTATATTTTTGCGGCTTTCATATGTTGTACTAAAATCTGTAATAACAAAAAGGCAGTCTGTGTTTGACATTTGCCTTTTGAGGCTCAGCTGCGCTATCCTGTCACACTTAACAATCAGGCTTTGTACACACTACTGAGCACTAAACCTCTCCCCCATGACTCATCCGTTGGAAGGCACTCCTGCCAATATAGGCAGATATAACAAAATCCATATATCTCAGGTCGTTGGGCGATGGGAAATTTATTGCTCGCTATGGACCGATTGTTGTCCTTGACTTCATTTCGTGTGCTTCATGCTAATTGGCTTTTTTAAGTCTTCTTTGGGAGGTCGACTCTTTCCTTTTTATTTATTTGTTTTTCCGAAAATTCGTTGTAAGTCTGAAGTGCTCGCATTTTCTTGTAGTAATTTATTTGCATTTATTAACTTGAATAATTAAAATAGGAATGGAATTATGGCTTATTATTTTTGAGGGAAGATTTAGAAATTCAAAATGGTCCATTGCAGACTTCGAAAAGGGATAAGGTGTAATAAAAATGCACAGACTGTTAAAAAAACAAAACAGAAAACAGAGGTACATAGAATATTTGGCAATGTCTGGAAAAGTCCTAAATCATTTATAAAATTAAATAACGTACTAAATTTCGTAACTTCTTCGTGTATTAAAAACAAAAAAATGTACATTATATAAATGAGTATTTGTTACAACATTTTCTGAGCTCAGTAGTTGAAATATTAATTTATAAATATGAAAAGCAGGATAATTTTGATGCCTTTTTAATTCAGTTAACAATTTGAATAAAAGAAGGACTTTTATAATTAATGAAGACGTTTGGTTTACGAAGGCCAACTATTCGAATATCTCAGAGGGCTTCCAATGCTAGTTTTGGCATGTTTCTGAAATTCTTTATAATTTTATATAAGTCTAAGCTTAAACAAAGCAAAAGTTTTTTTAATATTTGCAAAACAAACCTTTGGGAAGAGTTGCGGAACCATCTAGAATTCATAATAATCCTGAACTGGGTCATTTTTCAATATTTGTGGAAAACGTTGCCTCATTATTGTGTTTTATTATAATAAAATAATAAACGTAAAACATTGAATTAGCATTTAGAATGTGGCACCTTAATCCAACAAGTATTAACTTAATATGAGAAAACCATTATCATTGAATTAAAGTAAATGCGAGTACGCCGTGAAACCAGAATACACTGTCAGCTGCACTTGAAATTTATCCATTAGGTAGCTTAAATGAAAAGCAAAGACCTGTTAATGCCTCAGTCTATGTCTAGGTCTGTCTCCGCCTCCGACACAGCCACAGCCACTGTCTCTGTCTCTGCCACTGCCCGTACTTTGGCTTTGTACATAGGGCTGGGTGGGGACTTGGTAAGAGTTCATGGCACACACCCATGCACGCACAAAGCACAAATAATATTTGTATTTATATTTTTATGTGCCAAATCGTATTAAATTTTCGCCATTATTAGCGTGCGTTGCACGGTGCGTATGCGTAATAAAATGCGACAACAGGCCATGATAAGACAGGCGAACGAGACAGGAAATTGGCTGTAGCCAGAATCCAGAGCAATATCCAACCACATGGCCGTTGAACTTTTGCTCGAACTTGCGCTAATGATGTATGGTGTCCGAAAAAAAAACCATATTAATGTGATTGCTTATTGCTGATTGTTTAATTGTCAGTCGATATTTCATGCAGCAGGCATAGCCACAAAGGGCTGTCAAAGGCCAGAGATCCACGTCCATCAGGGCGGCCATGTGTGCTTTATAACCTTTTGTGTCTGTCCTTGTTCGAGTTCGAGTCCGCGTCTGAGTCTGAATTATGCCTTTTAGCATAAAATTCATAACGCAGCATAGTCCAACTATCAACTATGTGTTTTTTTCGGTCTTGTGTCTTCCATCAAATGGAATAAAAGGAATACAAATTAACTTCAAGCTGTGGGGGAGAAATGTGTAAACCCAAATAACATGGTGTTGGCAAACAACAATGCTGTTCAGAATGCCTGACGAGCTGACTGATTGACTAACTCCCAAGTCTGGATGGGTCTGGTTGGGCGCAATGCGAGACTTGTCACCGAATTATGAATGATATGCAGTACATAAATCACAGTCCGCAAACAACAAACAACTGTGGAGACAACAACGACAACGACAAAAACAACTAGAATAACAATGGCATCGACAAAAACCATTGAACGCTTAGCCACGGACATGACCGAAAGTTACTCAGCATAATTTTAGCATTGTTTATGTATTTGGTTCACCCACTCACCCAAACACTCTCTATCATTCTTTATATCTCTCTACAGCCTGGATGCTCGGCTGGCTGATGTGCAAATGCGTACCCTATATACAGGGTGTCTCGGTCGCGGCATCCGTTTACAGTCTAATTGCCGTCTCACTCGACAGGTAAGTGAAATGAAACACCTTTGCAAATACGTAGCTACGAACTTTTATTTTGTGGCGTGGGAATGGGAATTACTTGTATCTAGGTTAGGTTAGGGAGCGGGATGGTTTACGTTTATCGGGAGGGTAAGCGTGGGTGGGGGTCTACATCATTAATGATGCACAACCACTGCAGGTGCGGCGTGGTGCACAGACACCAATGGCACCACCGGTTTCACGGCATGCACAGCCACCACGGGCTTGGCTACAATGGGTGTTACGACCTTATGTACCACCGGGGCCGGATGATGCACCACATGCCTGCGAAGGGAAAGGACAAATTTTAATATAACTTGCAATGTACAGGGAAAAAGAAATTAAATATGTATGGAATTGAGTAATTGATTAATTATATTAATTTTTAAAAACAAAGTTCGTACACTTAATATGAATTGATTATAAGTAACTTTTGATTGAGTTGTAAAATATCAAACAGTTATTCCTCCTTAATTAAATGTTCATATAGTGCCATAGTTTATATCCTTTTTTGTCTAAAATGTTTTCTCTCATTGCTTTCTATTATGATTATCTATCTTTGCATCCTATCTATCCATCTAATCATTCCTTCCTATGACTCTTGCTCCTTAATAATATGTTAATATAGCAATAGTTCATAAACTTTTTGTCTATAATTTTTTTTTCTATCGTTGCTTTCTGTTATGCATATCTGTCTTTGCATAATATCTATCCATCTTATCATTCCTACCTATGACAAAACATTACTTCCTTTTATTCCGAACATTCCTTCCTATCATTGCTACCTACAATTTCTGCCTTTAATTCTTTTCTACCATTCCTTCTTATCATTCAAAAAATTGTTTTCATAATTTTCTTGTTTTTGATATCGAAATAAAGAAATAAAAATGTTGTCTTACTAAAATGTCCATTAAGTTTCTTGCCTCGTCAAGAGCTGTTTTATGTTGTTATCAAATAATAAGGTTACATGACACATTTGAAATCCCTCGCAGATATTCATAAGCATAGACTGACATCGGTTTATTGAAACATATTCCCAATATTATATCTAGGATTTCCTTCTAACCAAGTCAACAATCGATTGAATCGATTGGCCGTCCCAGTTATTAAAAACAACTTTTGCTGCCTTTTTGTATTCTAATTACTAAAATGTGTATAGTCCTCTAATGAACGAATTATTCTTGTCCTAAGTTTATAATTCGATTATCTTGCCAAAAAGTTAAACTGTAGTCCTCAGAACATCATACAAACAAAATATTACTAAGCAATCCTTCTGTACTTACGAGTGCACTGAATGTGCGCCGTGGTGGATGATTGGTGTGTGAACCACCGGATGCACCACTGGAGTGTGCACCACTGGTGCAACGGCGACTACACCGGGAGCTGCATAGACCTCAGCAGCGACGAGGGCGGCGAGCACAAAGAGCTGCACCGAACAGAAAATATTTGAATTGAAAAGGCTTTGTCCATTCGCAGGCTCATACTCACAATTTTATACATGCTGATGTGGTGGATTAGACTAATTGTAAGTAAGTAAGTGGTTAATCAGACTTGAGCGATGACTGGCTACTGTTGTCAAATGCTGAGCTGTCGGGCCATTTTATAGTCGTTATGACAAAACTGGCTGACCGCCGACCGGTGGCTGGACAGAGTGAACTGCCTTAGAAAGTGAACGCTATGTGGTGGTTTCTCAATGAAAATTGGTTGGGAAACTGGTAGTAGTTTGCTGGCTGGCTGTTTCAGTCAGTGGGGCAGGCAGCTGGTTGTCTCAAGATCAAGTTCACAGCTTGTTCTAGTCACGCGCCTTGGAACGCACATATATGGCGCCGACTTAATAAAAAATTTTATGTAATTTCAATTGACAATTGCCGAATTGCCTTGTGGCGTTTATTGGATTTGCCTAATGCTCCTTTGATGATGTGCCGCCAGGAATTCGCGCTTAATGCGCACATTCTCTATTTAATTTATGCGTACACATAAATATGTATATAGTTCCGTTTGTTCACACAAATGTCGGCAGGAGCCATAAAAAGAGATTTGTGCATTTGTGTGGCTATCTGTCGCAAAATTTATGTTCCTTAAGTCGCAAATGCCGCGAGTTGAGGATTTGTACAGCGAAGATATGAAGGCATTTTGGACAGTTGTGCTCATAATTTTTTTTTTTTGAAGAAACCAGAGCAGAATACATAAAGAAGGCGCCAAGTGGGCGCGCCATTTCCATTTATATCAATTTTTTCTTTATTTTGTTTTTTGTTTTCCTCTATCTGTCTCTCTGACTGTGCTGATTTAGTTCGGTCCAGTGGGTTTAACATTATTTAACGCACAAGTGGCACCGCCAGCGGTGACAGCATCAACAAAAAGTGGAACATAAACATCAGTGTTGGTTTTGATGTTTGGTCAGAAGACATGAACACCACCCACACCTCAAATTCGCTTCAATATACGCTCCTTTAAATGTCGTTTGGCTCGCTTCCTTTACGAGCTCGTAAACTCAATCGGAATTTTAGATTTATTATCTAAAACAAGCAACTTGAAACTTACGCTGGTCCCAGCTCGTCAATGTTTTGGCAACTCACTCGCCTTACAGCCGCCAGCATCCGAGTTAGCCCGCCTCCTTATCACTGGCTTATACCAATGACATTTAATTAGGGTCCTTAGTTTTATGTAGCACGGCCCCATCCACATACAAATCCACACCCACTTTCCCACTCCCATTCCCATACACATACACATAAAACGTCGTAGATATATCACCCTTGTCTGTTTAAACATAGTAGTAGCTTTATGACTACGAGCTGCTATGTGTGTGTTTTTTTTTGTGGCCACCATCTTTGTTCGTGCAAAGCGAAATGTCAACAGTGCGTATGAGCAACCGCAACAATTTTGTCTTTGGTCCTGTCTCGCGAGTATGCTAAAGCAAAAAAGTCATAAAACTCGCAGGGCAGGAAATATGTAAGCCAATTATTAAATTTGCTACGGGCTTTATGTAAATACACACATATAGTAGCATATGTACATATGTATAGTTGCTGCGTAGGAGAGTTTAAAAATCCTGAACCACTGTAGTCTTAACCAAATAAAGTTATTTAATTTACAACCAATTTTGCATGGTAAGTAGACATAAAAACTACCATATGCATAATTTTCTACTATCACGGACTTTCTTTGTTTATCTAATATGCTAGTTTACAAAGGAAAATAGATGTATATGTATACAAGTATATATATACTCATTTATAGTATAGTAGTCATTTGTTGGCCTAATTCTTTGCCTGTAGATGTGGACAATAGTTTGAATATACGCGTATCTCTCTTTCTCTCTCTCAAAGGACAATTGAAGTTAGCCTCCGGTTTCTAGTTTCCTCTTAGACATCTAATTTCAAAGGATAACTCAACTAAGCCTCAAGAAATGTCTACTATTAAATTAGTACGCTTTGTGTTAAATTGAATATAAATATATATTTAAATATAATTTTAAGAGTGTGCCATTTGTTAGTTTGGTTTAAATTTTATAAAACAAACAAAATTAAACAATATTCCATATTTTGCAATTATAATACGAGTATACTTGCTATTTATACTTAGCCCACAAATTTGAATAACACAAATATAAATGCTGTTTTGAAAAATATCATTCTAAAAGTGTGATTAATAATAAACAAAATTAAATGCTTACAATATTATTTTTTTAATTAAAAATAGTTAGTTCACTCGTACTTTGCTTATTTATCAATTGAACAAAAAAATCAATATCAAAGTATTAATAAACAGTAAATGGAAATTTATTAATTTATAAAGCCAGCATACTAACAAATTGCAGTCGTAAATGTATTAATATTTACAAAGTTTTGCTCGAAAACATATCCATTTAATACAAGTATAAGAAGACGCACTAAAAAATTGCTAGTCATCAAATTTATAGCTTTATTTTCTACATTTTTTTAGTGCACGTCCATTTAAGGACTCAGAGCAAAATAGCCTCGCCATGGACCCTTTTCCAACCATCTGTTGTGCAATTTATTATTTGTGCTTAGCTTTTGTTTATTATTTGCAAGCGAGCTGTGAGCCCACAATCTAAGGTCTAACTGCGACTCATATTTAACATTGATTCATACAATTTACGTTTATTATAAGTTTTGTTTTATGGTTTATTATATGCTTATCGTATTACAGTTATTTGGAAAATATTATATTAAAGCCTCACCTCTTGTCGTAAGTGAAATAAAATACTAAATTTAGTGAACATAATCTTGAAAGCTTAGCTCTTGCCGTTCCTTAAGTTTGCTAAGAAATTAACTAAGATGTTGGAAATAGTTTCTACTTATTACAAAAGCACCTAAAATTATTTAATTAATAATAAACAACATTTCACAGTTGGGATGTGGATTGCCCAATTAGTTACAATTATTAGTTAGAGAATAAAAATATAACTTGCTTAGAAATACAAAACTAATGAACTTAAATATTGGAAATATTGTAAACAATTATTTCCTAAGCAAATCAAAGACAACAAACGGTTAATCAATACAAAAGTTAGCTTTAGTTTTCGAAATATTTTATAAATGCCCACTGCCTTAATAAATTAATTACTACAAGCGCATTTAATGATTCGGATCAAGTAATCAAATCATTGCTTTGATTATCGCAGTTTTTGTGTTTGTCGTAATATGTTGTTATTAGTGAAAATTGAATTGTTTATAAAAAAGAGAATTATTTATTACGACGTGAAAATAGATAGGAAGGAAAGTGGATGAGCTCTTGATTTTAACTCATAGTAGATAGCAATCTAGATGAGGAATCAGGGATTTTTTTATATCTGTCTTAGGTAATATTATAAAATAAAATACTCATACATATATATGTCATAAGACCTAAACTACCACTGCTTATATTTCCATAAGCAATGAATTCCAAACTTGTAAAGAAAATCATAACTTCTTCAGCTTGTATGCACAAATTAGTATAGAAAGAAACCTAAATAATTAGTTTTTCTATCACTAAAGTTGTGATCATATCAACATAATAATAAGTCTGCTTAGCATTTGTCTTGTTCATGGCAGGGACTTTAATGCCTCACTGTCTGACTAAGTCTTTAATGTATAGCCCACTAGTGGGTAGGATGAAGTAATTTACACACATGTCTAGTTACGAGTATGTCTGCATACTTTCACATCCACCACAGACCGACCATTTGCCTGAAATTATGGCGCGCCGTTTCTTCTTCTTTTCTATTTCAAGACTAAACACAATTAAAAGCTCGGCTGAATTGCGATGCCAACTAAGCAGCTTTAAGCATTATCTGTTGGTTTATGTACAATATGGCCAATGTTGTTTGAATCTACATTTATATTATGCATATTATGCCAATTTATTATTTACAATGAAAAAGTCAGAGTGCAAGCAAAAAGAAAGAAATCCAAAGACAAATCCAGATATATGTACCCTCAGTAAAAATAATTTGTATTTTTGTCATAAATAAAGTATGGACGGTACTGATAGCTGAGTAAGTGTGAGAATTCTTGTTTATAGGATGAAATTCCCTATATATACATGATTACAAGTATAACACTTTTTAAAATATGTTTAATACTGCTTGTTTGCCTTTGCAACTTCTTTATACGACAATATTTTTATTGATGATATCTTTCGAGTATAACACATTCAATCCGGGTTTTCTTTCCATTTTCCATCAAATTCTCCCGAACTGAATTTTATGAGTGGTGTTATATCTTATTTTGTTTTTAGAAACGATTTGAAGGCGTATATTTCAAAAGCATTTTGGAATTAAAGCAATATATCAATTTGGATAATTTGATGTAATAAGGAAACGGAAACGTGTCTAAATATATATGTTTCTATTTTTATTATAATGCCGTAATTTAACATTTTTATTTGTAATTCTTATAAGATTATATTACATATATATCTACTTGCTTGACTCATACGTTTAAAAGTCGAAGTCCAAGACTTCTTCATCTCATAGTAAACAAATCAGGTACATAAATAAGACTTGTTTCCAGTACGTATTTTCCAATATCCCGACTTGCCTTGATTTGATATTCAATTTGTTTTTAAGAATTAACGTGGGTTTGATTTATGCTACAAAATTCCTTTCTGATATTAATTTAAACAATGAATCCATATACATATAGTATACATATTTAATACATACATACATAACATAACTTTGCATAATCCGAGAAAGCAACCGAAAGCAGAAAAAGAAAAAATGGCAGTCAATGGTTACTTAAATCAAGATTCATACATTCTTATATTCTACTTTAAATTCGATTTTTTGTAATCAATTTTTATCTCTAAGTACTATACATTGAGTTTGCTTTACACTACAGATTAAAGAAAACTAAAGTACAAAAATTAGCCACAAATATTAAGTTCAAGCCTAGTCGGTGTCTTTCTTTTTGAAAGTGTGTAGGAGGCAGTGACTCCCATTGACTTCGTCAGCTCTTTGTAGCTATTTTTAGAACATAAACGACAAAAGAAGAAAAAACAGTTGCAATTGGCTCACGCCTTGCAACAAAATTATCTGGAAAATCCTGAGCCAACGGTGGACAACGACCCAAACGCAGTCGCCATGCCACACATATGCTGCGGCTTCTATTCTTTATGCCACGTAGTTACGTGGATGCCTCAGATTTTGGCAAAGACAAGGCGTTTGTATTTACGTACGTATGTGTGTGTGTGTGTGTGTGTGTGTGTGGTTGTGCGTCTATTTTTGGCCAGCTTTGAATGAGCTACGACTGTGGCGCCATCATAATAAGCGGGTTGCACTAAGCTAAATGAAAAATGTTGAACTCTTGTCGCTGCTGTTATTCCACACAAAAGTTGAGCTGCAACCTCAGAGTGCTGCCTCTTATTCAAATTACAATTCATTATGGCGCGCAGAATAAGAAACGGGAGCAGAAACCGCCGTACTATTCATGTGCGTTGTTCTGTACTGCAAAGTAGAGTTCAATAGACGAGATTGGAAAATGAACAGTCAGCAGAAAAAGGCTTAACCTGGCAGCTGTGTGGGATGGTGTGGTGTGCTGATGGTGTTGTTGTCTGCTTGTCTGTCCTCAGAGCTATGCCACCCACAGTGGTCTGTAAAGATCAAATAACGCGGTTGACAAGTTCTCCGAACCAACACAATGCCTAAAAAAGTTCCCTCATTCTATTTAATTTCGTCACAATAGTACTTAATATATGAATGGGATAAAGATAATGACAAAGCAAATAATTCAAGAGCTTTTGAAATTCTGAACATATGCATTTTAGTAAATTGATATGGGTTTTTATAATTGAAGACCTTGAGACACAATTTTTAAGCACTCAACACAATCATGTCTACTTTTTATAACCACATATAGAAGAATAAAGGTAAAATTGTGAGATTAACAACTTTTTTCTCAGAGAATTGAATAGCTAGGACATTTTAATGAAATACATATGTGTATAAATCAATCAAAGGAAAATATAATAATCAATCATTTCTAAATTTTCTTTGCCAAATTTTTTAATGGCATTTGTGTTTGAAAGGCTTATAATAATTTTATGAGCAGAACTTAAAAAACCCCATTCTTCACAGAGTATAATCTTTCAACTCTGATTTATGGAAAATCCTGCTGTGACTGTTGACTGTCATTTAAATAAATCTGCACCACTGTGCATCGATGGTTGTGTCCAGGGGTATGGGGATGGATGCTGCGAGGGCGAGTGCGTGTGCAAATTAATCAGCTAAAATATTTGCATGCCAGGCCACGGATGAAGAACGAAACGGTGTCGTCATCTTAGTCTTAGACTTGGTCTAGCTGGAGGAACAGTTGATGATTGTCATTATTATCGCCGCCGTAGGGATTGTAGTCATCGCTGTCATTGGCACAGCAGCTGTTAAATATTCTTTGTTGGCACTTCTTGCAGGTTCATTGCCATCTGGTGGCCACTGAAGCAGATGACAAAGCGACGTGCTCGCTTCATGATACTCGGCATTTGGGTAATCGCCCTGACCACCACCATACCGGAATTGTTGTTCTTTACGCTGGTGCCAGCGGAGGAGGTGCTGCCGGAAGCATTGCTCTCACTGTACTCGCGCTCCTTGTACTTGTGCCAGGCTGTGTGGCCTCCGGGCGCCGACGGCAATCTGTACTTCTTGCTGGCCCATTTGGTTGCCTGCTATTTGCTACCTTTGTCCTTGATTACGCTCTGCTATGTGCTTATCTGGATAAAGGTGTCGACGCGTTCCATTCCGGGTGACTCGAAGGACGCGCAAATGGATCGAATGCAGCAGAAATCCAAGGTTAAGGTCATCAAGATGCTGGTGGCGGTAGTCATTCTGTTTGTGCTCTCCTGGCTGCCCCTCTACGTCATCTTTGCTCGCATTAAATTCGGCACGGATATATCAACGGAGGAGTTCGCCATTATTGAGAAATTGACGCCGGTGGCTCAATGGTTGGGCTCTTCAAATTCATGCATCAATCCCATTCTCTACGCGGCTTTCAACAAAAAGTATCGCCTGGGCTTTGGAGCTATTATAAAATCGCGCAGCTGCTGCGGACGCTTAAGGTGAGTGCCAGACATAGTTTTGAAAAGGATTCCCGTTAACTAGTAATACCCTTCCTTGCATTCTTTACAGATACTACGACAACGTGGCCATTGCCTCGTCCACCACGAGCACACGCAAGTCCTCGCACTACCATCACAATAGTTCGCGCAAGAGTCCCAGCAGTCCTGGCCTGCGTAAGACCAACGCTGTCTCCTACATCTATGAGCACAACTCCATGCGGCGCCCCAATCTGATGATGAAGCAGGATAGCAGTCTGTCGCAACAAATGCTGTTGAAGCAGGACTCGCACGGCTCGCGCCAGTTCCTTATCAAGCAGGAGAGCGCTTCCAGCGAAGGCTCCCGACGTCCGCTCTGCCAGCAGGATAGTAATGGTTCGAAGATCTCGCTCTCCAAACAGGACTCTATTGTGTCGTACATGGAGGCGAAACGTGCCGCTGGCCATGCTCTTACAACCCAGGACTCTGTGGCCACGCAGCAGGACAGCATTTCGATTGATTCGCGACGAGGCTGCATGCTAGGTTCGCCGGCTCCCATTGGCAATGCATTGTTCGACAAGCGCCAGAAATTTGTGAAACAGGACTCGGTCATTTCGTTTGTGGATCAGCGACCCGAGCTGCGACGTCATCAGCTAGTGAAACAGGACTCGGTTATCTCGTTTGCCGATCAACGACGTGGGCTGCTCAACAAACAGGACTCGATTATGGCCAATCGAGCGAGCGATGCGCCCACCCACCATGTTTCCATACTAAAAAAGACCGACTCCCAATTGAGTTATGGCCTTGGTATGTCATCCTCATCGCCCCGAAAGAATACGGAGCTGTATGAGTAAATATATATTAAATTATTAACTTACCTAAAACGAATTAAAAAATGTCTAGGGAACACTAAGTGTATATGTTTTTGCTGTTATTTCAGTGGATAAAAATGTCTGCTGATGATTTTAAAGATATTTTAATTTAAAATCGATTCCTTATTAAAAGGTATCAGCAAATTAATCAAATTTTTTAGATCCTTTTAAATACCTTATAATCCAGCATGTTTCCGTTTCCGAATCCGATCTAAATTGTCGACATCGATTTGGTAATTTACATTTAAAAGTGATTAAACATTATGCTTTTTACATAGTTTATTTTAAATATTAAATGTGTTTCGTTTTCGTTGATGAATTTCTAGTGTGGAAATAGCATCACACTCGTATAATTGTAGGGTTATTTTACAAAATGTTGTACAAATCAGAGAATTGAGCCAAATCGATTTCGACAAATCTGATTGGAATGGGGAAGGACTAAAATATGTCTACAATATGTATATTTTTCATTGTAATAACAAATGTGCTTTGGTTTTCATTCTAGTTTGTTTTAGAATTAAATATACACGTATTTATAAAAATATTCAACAATATTGAGAGAATACACCCAAAATGAGAATAAATCAAAATAAATGCGCATAAATATAGGCTTTTATAGATCTCCGTACTTAAAATATATAAGTACCATATAACAAATACATTTTTAAATTTAGTGTTCCCTACATTAAGTATTTTGAGTAAAGTCTAAGAAAATTGCTATATACAAGTATATATGAACTATCAACACCAAAAATGACATATACGATATAATTTCATATATTTCTATATACAAATATATAGGTTAGTCGGGAATGCGGGCTGAAGGGCTGAAGGTAATGGGCGGCTGTGATTGAAATCGGCATTGGCAGCGGGTTGTCTTTGAACTCGGCCCGAGGAGAATGCCGCAATATCCGTCATGTGGGGCTAGGGTTGGACCAATTTGTTAAGGGCGGGTCTAGTTGATAGCAGAGTTGCTTAGTAAGGCACTCACACATACACAAACACACACAAACACACAATCAAATACACACACACACACACACACATAGTCAATAGATGTTTTATACGCGTTTCAAAGGTACACACACACACACAACACACTTTGCAATAGGTACCGTTATGCAGTTTTAAGACGGTTTATATTCGTAATATTTACTATATCGAAAAGCAGCTTGTAATTTGAAGAGTTGATCTTGAAATGGCAGTGCAATTTTTTACCAGCAGCCTTTGGGGCTTAGCTAAACTTTTTGTACTAGTGGAATACTAATTGAGAGTCGCGTGCAAAACACGCATAATATGGCGGTGAGCGCGCGTTTTTTGAAGTCCAGTATCAAATTTGAAAACACACCGAGGTCTAAAGAAACGTACCTACTAAATTTTTGTATGGGAATTCTTACAATTTATATATATATTTGTATTGATTTTGGAATAAGCAATATGTAATACATATGTATCTATCAAAGAAACAACAATAATCAATTTTATTAGAGTTTTACACAACAAAACACGTTGAGTCGTGACAGCGAGAACGGCACAACGGTAAAATGGGACGAGAAAACGAACGCAATGGAATGAAACGCTAGACCGCTAGTTTAGTTAGGTTTTGGGGAATCGGAATCACACCAAATAACTGAAGACACGCGCACACACACACAGACATGTGTACACAAGCACAATAGATTTAGTGGTGATGTAAACATTGAAAGCGCACAAAGCAGCGATAGGGCAGCATATGACCATGTGTTTATGTTTACGGGGCGGGGTGGGGGTGAAACACTCAGTATGTACAACCAACTAAAAAAAAAAACAACAAATAAAATTTGGGAATGGGTTAGAGCAGGTTAGGGAGAAGAAGCAGCAAGAAATTTCGCACTAAACGTATCACTATGTAACAACTAACAATAATCGAAATAAATTTGTTTAAATACTAACAAATAAATAAATAGGAACGCTAAAAAGAAACATTTTTAATAAATGGATAAATAAACGAAAGAAAAATAACTATAATAACTACAATGATAAACTATGAAATTTTATTGTTAGCCAAAATTTTATAAATGTCAAGTAAACAAACAATGAATAAATATTTATATACTACCTACAACATACATACATATAACTCGTAATTTAAACATATAGCATTAGGCGCTGTTTTGTAGTTTTGACTTGCTTTTAAATAAATTCAACAACGATTTAGTTTAAACTAACTATTAGTTTCATGTTAGTTTATAGAGCTACAAGCTCCGATACAACAAACAAACGCACGGCCTGTACAAAACTCAAGCGCTTAATGCAACGCAACAAACTAACTATGTACTCAAAGGAATATCAAGGATATATATTTAATATATATATATACATATATATATATATATATATATATATATGTATATATATATATTATATATATATATATATATATATATATATATATACATCATATGTAACCCATTCAACCAGCAACATTGCAAAAGTGTATTAATAACCGTATCCTATCATTTATAAAATATACTACAAAATATTATTGGTGACGTAATTATATACAATAATACAAATACGATTGATATTTACAATATATGTATGTACATGCATGCGTAAAAGAAAATCTTTTAAAAAAGCCACACAGCTTTCACATTTTAATAAATATACATATTTAATATGAAAAGGCAACAATATTTATCAGATAAAAATGAACTTTAAGTTTTAAAACCAATTGCAGTAGTACTTACACACAACATTAAGTACAGCCACATGCATACTAATTTTGTTCGTTATTATTGTGTAACAAGCAGAAAATGAAAAACGTTATTCAAGTTAAATAATTGTATTTAATAATATTCGATACAGATATATTTATGTTTATGGCATGCAAGCGAAACCAAAGATAAAGCATTAGTAAAAATCAATTTAATAAATATTACATACATGCATATATTAAACAAATGTTTAAATGTGTTTGAATTTCGATACAACTTTTATTGAGTATGCATACATTTTGAAACGCAACGAAAATCATATGTTTTAGTATTTTTAACGACGAATTATTCTTTGTGACTGCGACTGAGTTTATGCAGCATAAGTGATACAGTCACAGGTAGCAGAGCTACTACTACTTATCTCTGAACTCTTAAGTATCGATACATAGCCAGCAGTCGTAGCTCGTGTCGGGATTTGTTTTTAGTTTTTTCCTGTTTCTCAATATTTATCCATAGTTTATTTGCTTTTGAAAGACTTTCTAAATTAAAAAATTACACTTCACGGTTATCATAACCGAAGCGTTTCCTTGCGCCAACAACCGCATACATTTATAAATCAATTACAAACAACGCACCTCATACGTCATTGCTATTTCTGTCGCTATGGAACAAAAACAACAAAAACAAGCTGCGGTCGAAGCGGGAGCATCTACACAGACCCAGACCCAAGTTGATGAAGAGCTGGACATTGATGACAACATGAAGCATTGTTTTGACAACCTAATTGTCATCGATGTGGGTGCAAATTTGACTAACAAGAAATATAGCCGTGATCTAGATTCGGTGGTACAAAGAGCAAGAGACGCAGGTTAGTTGTGTATCACTAATTGAAGAAGAACAAGCAAGATAAGACGAATAATAAGACATCGTCTTGGGCGAGGCATACGCACGTACAAGCATTCATACATACATATATATGTATGTTTGTATGTGGGCAGATGGTCAAACGTTGAGGTCAAACGTTGGTTGCGATAGGCATGCAACAGTGTGCCTCAATATGTATATTTGTGTGTGTGCCTCTTTGTTTTGGAATGTCACGTCGGTTCAGAGGCCAATGCGATGCAGCTTGCATTTTTTCAATGCCCACACATACAAGCTAACTTTCTCTTTTTCTTTTGTTGATGTCTTCCTCATGCAGGTGTTCAGAAACTTATGGTGCATGGCACATCGGTAAAATCAAGCAAGGAAGCGCTGCGCCTTTCGCGCATATATCCCGACATAATATATTCGACTGCTGGCATACATCCCCACGACTCGAAGTCAATTGTGGAGGAGCCGACCACATGGTTTGACTTCGAACACATTGCACAGGCGACGGAGTGCGTTGCTTTGGGCCCCTGTGGTCTGGACTATCAGCGCGATTTCTCCGAGCCGGAGGTGCAGAAACAGATTTTCGTAAAACAGTTGCAACTGGCAATTCGTTTAAATAAACCTCTTCTGATACATGAGCGTTCGGCGCAAAACGATTTACTCGAAATACTCGACAAGTAAGTAAACACAAACGCACGCCTGACGAATCCTAATTTATTGGATGTTTTTGAATAATATAGATTCGAGAATCTTCCGCCTGTGATCGTTAGAGGTTTTATGGGAACAGCTGAGGAGGCACTGAAGTACCTGGAGCGCAGATTCTACATTAGTTTGACTGGTTACTTGTGCAAAGATAAATCCGATTCTGGCGTACGAAAGTTGCTAGAAAACGGATCTTTACATTTGGATAGATTGCTGGTGGAAACCGATGCACCATTTATGTATCCAAATACGAGAGCATCCAAGCTGCCGCAACACGTCAAGACTGGAATAACCGAACGTTCTCTGTTGTACTTACACAGGTGGGATATAATAGTATTCTTACATATATGAGGAGATTAAGTGTATATATGTGTTTGGTTTATAAATAGATATTGCACTTTTCAACGTAACGAGCCATGTAGCTTACCCGCCATTGTGGAAATGATCGCTGCATTCATGAAGAAAACTCCCGATGAGGTGGCTTTGGCCACAGCCTTCAATGCCCTGAAGCTTTTCGGTCTGTCATAATTGGTGCCATTTGCAACTGAAAAGGATGGTGCAGCTGCTAATCGCGACGAATAGGTGTGCCAATAAGCAGCTTTAAAATATTTTAAACGAGCCTGAGATTCAACAGAGACTCACCATGTGCCTTAAAAAACGATACGAATTTAGGATGCGCGCTCGTGCATTCTAAACTAAGCACCTAAACATACACACCCACACACTATATACGAACTATATATACTCTACGACACAGTCGCATGCGATTTGGTGAATGTAAAACATATACATGCATGTATACTCACTCTCCCCTAAATGAATAGTGAATTCTCGATCGATCGAATTCGCTACCTACCTTTAAGTTGGAATTTCCTAAGAGAAGCGTTTTGCTTTACTCAGTCCAGATGAGTTCATAAACAATGGCAATGAAGCCAAGGTGCCAAATGGCAAATGAACGCAAAATTAATTAGCGCCGTGCCGTATTTTCATGGTTTAATGCGCTTTCGAAAGCGTTTACTGTTAAAACGCTGTAGTTGTTTTGTGTTTTTTCTCCTCGTCGTTTACTTTAGTTTAAGGGTTTTAAAATTTTGCCTTGTGTGCGCCAACAAGTCTCGTTTAGTTTATAGTACAATTTTTGTAAATATTTATTTATGTTCGTTGCGAGCTTCCGAGCCCGCGCTGACTATGCAATGTTTGAAGATGATGATTATGGAAACGTGATGTGATCATTTTACGAGCTAAATATTTATATAATATAAAAAACAGAAAAAACATAAGGGTTAGTGCTATGGCATCATACAACATGCACATATATATTTTGTTATACAAAACTATATCTACGTATATATACATATATATAAGCCCCACTCATACCCACTGAACTGATAACCGATTGAGTTACACATGAAAACCGCTTTGTGCTCTTTGTTTGCACACATTCACACATACATACATAAACTATTTTCCATTTGAATAAAGCGAATTTAAAATAAAAATTCAAAAAACATCGACTATGAGATTTACTATATATGCTTATGTATATTGTTTCATTTAAAAGCGTTGTATATTATGCAAGTCCTCGAACTGTTTCAGTCTATGCAAATTGTCCCACCACTGTTTAAGACGATGACGTAAAATGAGTGCGAACCAGGGAGTCATGGGTGCACTAAACTGAGACACAGCATTGTCGATTTCATCTCGTTTTAGAAAGCGCACCTCACTAACCTCGTTGCTGTTTGGCTTCAAGGTAACGTCCTTTTGCAGGAACAGTATGTAGTCGATCTCGTGCTCACCCCACACCCCGTCGCCCTTGTTAGCGTAGTGTATTCGAGTCAGGTAGTGAAAGTTCTCCGGCTGGATCTCTTCGATCGGTATTCCCAGCTCATAATTCAGGCGCCGTTGTGCTGCTTTGCGTATTCCACGAGCGTTGGACTCCTCACGCTCCTCCTTTATGTCATGCAAGGGATGACTGCAGCAGGCATTCGTATACGTGTCTGGGAAAGTTATCTAAATGTGAGTGACATGAAAAATCCGAATCCCAACAGCAATCGCCATCCACACCCACCTTATGTACAGAGCGCCTCTGCACCAGCATTTCGCCCTTGCTGTTGAAGAGAAAGACGCTGAAAGCACGATGTAGCTTCACCTCCCCCGTCTCTGCATGGACTCGGTGGCAGTCCGCCTTAGATGCAGCCCCAATGGCTTTGTCCTTCTCGTCCACCAAAATACATTGTTCCTTCAGAGCGGCCACCTGGAGAGGGTCGTGAAGCGCTTCAGCTGCTTCTTTCTGCTGGCCCACAGAGGTTGTGGAGCATCTGCGCAGCAGGGGTAGACGCGGCCATAGACTTGAGCGTGCTGTCAGCATTTTTGGCAATGAAGTGTTAATGACTAGCTTCGGGAGATATTTATGCCTCCAAACAAATATGAAAAGTGAAAACGTAATCCAGTGGTGTTGCCAACTAACGTAATGTATAGTCTGATTGCGCTTGCCAACACTATAAAATAACAGCTGTTCTGTTGCATTGCAGCACTGGTAACAGTGATACAGAATTTGTTCACTATCAGATTTTTGCTTCCGCTGTTGAAAACTGTAAATAGTCAAGTAATTACTAAATAATTACCAAAACAGATATTTCAAAATGGTAAGCCTATTGTGTTCCGCATTTTTGAATGGGATTTATTCATTTGAATTCACGCAGATACGCTTTATACTCATACAAAACCGAGCTGGCAAAACTCGCCTGGCCAAGTGGTATATGAATTTTGATGATGACGAGAAGCAAAAACTAATTGAGGAAGTGCATGCGGTAGTCACAGTACGCGATGCGAAACACACAAACTTTGTAGAGGTATGTATTTTAGACAATTGGGGGCGTGTAGCAATTGAGTCTAATGTAAAGTTCCCCCTCCTCTTGGATTCGACAGTTTCGTAATTTCAAGATCGTGTACAGACGATATGCTGGCCTTTACTTCTGCATTTGTGTGGACGTCAATGACAATAACTTGTGCTATCTGGAGGCAATTCACAACTTTGTCGAAGTGCTGAACGAGTATTTCCACAACGTATGCGAGCTGGACCTGGTATTTAACTTTTACAAAGTCTATAGCGTTGTGGACGAAATGTTCTTAGCTGGCGAAATACGTGAGACATCGCAAACGAAAGTGCTCAAGCAGCTGCTGACGCTGAACTCATTGGAGTAGAGCCCCATTTGCGTGAACGATGCATTCCCATTGCCCCTTGTGGTTAGTTATACATATACAAATACCCGCTTATCGAATCCTTTCATATACATACATACATACATATGTATTATTATTACATATTACTATTATCTGAATTTATGTGTTCTGATGCAAGAAAAACTCTCAAATGTTAAATGTCCAGCATGTTTAGAATCAAATAATGTTTAATAATAAGAGATTAATTGCAAGTGCAAATATTAAACAACGGCGGGAGGCAGGCTTATTATGGATTTTTGGAGGTGGTTATTGTGGTTGCCGCCCACACTTAGGTGCGTAGCCCTAGGAGTTAGCGCAACCCTGGCACACTGACTGTGAGCGTTTAGTAACACTAATCACATATTGGCACTGCCTCACACTATTGCCACTTCGTCATCTTTTGGTCGCCATTGTTCTCGTTCTCTCGGCCGAAAAAAATTTCTTTGGAATAGTTAAATTTCCGTAGAAATACCAGCATTAAATGCAATAGCGCGTTAATAAAAAACCAATCTGTGAAACTGTGCGCATTACCAGTGCAATTCAAAGAAGAGTTGTTGTGAAATTAAAACTATAATCGTCTCTGATCCAAGCAAAAATCAAATATTTGTTCGTGGCAAAAGTGTAATTGTGTGCAAAAGCCAAAAATATGTCATCTATGAATCCAGAATAGTAAGTCGTCACATGCGTAAATTGCGCATAACATCATACACAATTTTATTTTTCTTCAATTTTATTTTTGCATATATGAACTTTTGTTCAGTAGTCATACTCGTTTATTTTCTGCGACGTCATTTTTGCGAAGTCCACGACAACTTTTGTAATACATATAGGCAGGGGTCCAGCCCACTCCCTTTTTATTATTGTAGCGCGAGCAACTCAAAAAACGACGATTTAAATAAATTAAGAATGAGTTTACCCATGGGTTCATAGTTAAAACGAATTCAATAACTCATGGTGCCTGTAAGCAGACTTTGTACATAGGGAATTGCTGTTAATTGTTTGTATTTTATCGAGTTCGAGTGGCTGCCTGCCAAGTCTCAACCGTGGCTGCCTGACTACGCCGCTGATTCGTATTCGTGGGGCGGATGAGTCACCTGCCTGGCGTCTCCTACCCTCTCGCGTACTTTTTGTTGTTGTTTGACTACTTTCGTTGTCGATGTCCATTGCAGCTGCGTTGCTATTGCCGTCGATCTGCTACGTAATCAAAGCTTCTACGCTATTTTGATTTAATTATTCTGCTTTGCTCACTAAATGAAAACAATTGAACTTGAGATGCGTAGACGTAGAAAGTCCCACTCTTTGTTGTTGCCCTTCTCGTCTATGTTTGAGTGCGCAAATGCATTGGTCAACAAAAGGGCAGAGTGATGAAACAGTTAGTGTGTACGTCGGTCAGTGTCGGTAGCTAGGATTACATTGGCAAATCAAACATTCTTCATATCGCATTTCAACACAATAATGACTAAAATATACATTCACATACAAATATGTGTGAATGTATGTATGCACATATATATGTTGATGTATGTTTGCAAAACATTGACTACTTTTTTTTTATTTTTCTCTATTTTTGCAGTGATTATCTCTTCAAACTGCTGCTTATCGGCGACTCTGGCGTTGGAAAGTCCTGCTTGTTGCTTCGGTTTGCTGATGATACATATACAGAGAGCTATATCAGCACAATTGGTGTAGATTTTGTAAGTAAGATTTTATAAGACTTGTTTGTGACTCACAAACTATTTTCATTCTACAGAAAATCAGAACTATAGAGCTGGATGGCAAGACCATAAAGTTGCAAATCGTAAGAGCATAATCATTTCCTATAGCATTCCCTTCCTAATTAGATCTTCTGTTGCTCTTACTTAGTGGGATACTGCTGGCCAGGAGCGCTTCCGTACAATAACTTCGTCATATTATCGAGGTGCGCATGGCATTATTGTTGTGTACGATTGCACGGATCAGGAGTCCTTTAACAATGTAAAGCAATGGCTGGAGGAAATCGAACGATATGCCTGCGAGAATGTTAATAAGTTGCTGGTGGGCAACAAGAGTGATTTGACCACCAAGAAAGTTGTGGATCATACCACGGCTGCGGTATGTAGCAATTAGAAGGATTAATAATCAAGTCGACATATAAAAGCTTATTGTTTTCTATGCCATAGGAATATGCAACCCAATTAGGCATTCCATTCCTTGAAACTTCGGCCAAGAGCGCCACCAATGTAGAGCAGGCCTTCATGACGATGGCAGCTGAGATCAAGAACCGTGTCGGGCCGCCGTCAAGCGCTACCGACAATGCTAGCAAAGTGAAAATCGATAATGGACGTCCAGTGGAAAACACCAAATCTGGTTGCTGCTGAATAACTCTGATTGTGAATCATTATTATAAAAGTAAACAAAATTTAAACATAATAAATTAAAACAAAGGAAAAAACAGCAACATTACAAAAGCAAAAAGCAAATCATAATTATATATTAATAATTATGACCAAGCATATATAATGAGAGTATAAATGAGCACTGCGAAGTAAAATGCTAGCATGCCCCATTAATACGAAAATGAAAATCCAATCTGTGGACACAATTTAAGCAAATAATAGGCAACCAAGAAATCGAAAAACAAAAAACAAGTACTATACACGTCTTTTTCATTTCGAGTTTTCTGTTCATAAGTAGTGCAAAGCAAAAGAAAAAAAAGGTGTAGTAATTAAATTAATCTAACCTATTGTAAGAGTTACTTACCACAGCAGCAGCGCGAACCGAACACTATTAAAACACGTAAACAATTGCGAAAGTAAAGAGTTAAACAAATGAATGAAATACTGCGTTTATTGTAAGCATAGCTCCTTGGCGAGCGCCGTCACACATAAATACGCCCACACACACCCCCAGAAAAACAAACAAACAAAGACGGAGCCAGAAGAGAACATATTTAACATCATTGTGTATGCTATTATATTTAAATTAAAACTTACGAACATACATATTATCCAACGGGCTCGCCACATGTCTCTATCATATTGTAATTTTTATGTAAATCAAAACAATTTTTATTAGAATTAACAACAAATTACATACATATGTGTTTATATTTTGAGTGACGGTTTTGCTTAGCCACATAATTAGTTTAATGATGCCGATGATGATGATGATGATAAAAGTGAATAATTACGTATACATATAATTTAATAAAACTTGCGTGAGAGTAAATCACAGAGCCTTCTCAAATCCTTCAATGAATCGAATGCCCAAATCCCAATATACTTAATTGGCGAACATATTGGGCTTAATAAAGGCTAACAATTAACGAACTCAATTGGTGATGCCTTGAACAGAACATGAATGGTACCGTTTTCAATAAGTTTTTAAAAATCTAATTCGGATCTGATTAGATTTAAAACGTGTGGTTGTAATCCTACTATTCTGTAACGATCTGTTTGAATTTGGCTTTATCCGAAAATATTGAGAACAACTTCGTGATGAGGGTCCAAAACTGTTTTCTTTGCATCGTTATATATAGCGCATAAATTTAAATATTCAAAGTCTGAGGAAAATTACATACGTTACAAATTCTGTTTTTCTTAGTTCTTAATTCAAACAATGCTACTTTTCTGTATTTGCCTGAAGCCGCTATTATATAAAGAAAACTCGGTGGTGTGGTTTCAAAAACTGTTTTATTTGTATCGTTTATTGACTTCATCTGAGGTACTTCAGTCTTAACAACAAAATTCCTTTATTATGTGTATAAACTATGTATGTATGTATTTTAAATGACTTAGCGCCGAACTGAAACTGTTGGAATATTTGACTAAATACCATTTAGAGGTGGGATGAAAGGGGATCTTAGATTTTACTGGAACGTCTCTGCCCCGATAGGCAGGCAGTGGTTACCGTTGCCGCAGTTGCCTCTACGCTCCTCAATGGAGAAGCGTAGACCCAGCGAAGTGGAGAGACTGTTGCTGCGCCATGTGGAGGAGGTGCGTTCCGTGCCGGAGGATGTCGATATGGAATTGATTAGAAAGGTTGCCTCACGACGCAGTGTGCGACGTGCCTGTTGGGCTGCAGCTCTTCCAGTGCCGGCCAAAGCTGTGCCAGCATCCGCCTCATTCGTAGGTCGTCTTGTGGTGTTCCGCATGCTCTGTGCCCCATGCAGGTGCCGCTGATGGTGTGGCCGTTGACCGCAGCATGTGAGCAGCAGGCGCCAGAAGCCACTGCGGAACTTCGATGACATCAAATTGTAGAGAATGGGATTCATGGCCGAGTTGAGATAAAGCATGAAGCGTGAAAAATAGAGGAGATTATAGTAACCGGCAATGCCCAAATGCTGCACATCCTCCGCATTCGCTGTAATCACCCACAGCGTGAAGGCCCGAAAGGGCAGCAGACAGACAAAGAAACTGGAGACGACCGCCACCAGCATGAAGATCACCTGCTTGCGATGCTTTCTCATTCCGTTGCTCTGCTGGTGGCTGCTGCCCTTCGGGGGTCCCACACTGGATGCCGCTGGCTGAGGCTGCGGTGAGGTGGGCCGATGAAAGGCATTATTGGGGCGCAGCAGCTTGTAGGCAATGGCAGCATAGAGTAGCACAAGGATGCCGAAGGGCAGGAAGAAGAACAGCGTTATGCTGGCCACAAAATAGAATGTGGCCCAGAAGCCATCTGCTGCCGTAATGCAAATGGGAGCGTCCGTTCCATCGCCGTACGGCTCTATGGTGTAGCTAGCAATGGCAATGATGGGGCTGCAACGGTCGTATTCAAATTTTCAATACGGTAGTGTATCATAAATAAACAAAGAGGTATACATATCGTCGGTCGCAATTCATTTCGATTTTTTTAACATTTGATTTGAAGAGCAAGAGCTGGGGAATACTTTCTTCTCGAAAATAACATATCAACTATTTTCGCATATTTTGAAATAAATAAATATTTTCACAGCAATGGAACCTTCAGATTTCCTAACTATAAACTGGCAATATGGCAAAATCGGATGGTTACAATAAATACTATAACAAGAATACAACAATAATTACATTAATAAATTAAATAAATAAAATAAATCAGCAATCAGTATTAGAGGTGCTACAGAAAAGCAAATATAAAGTTATATAAAGATCTCTAGATAGCGTCCAAGTATTATTACATGCTTTTGCGCTATACTACAAGTATATATGGCGATCTCTTTGCGACACTATTGTTTCCATTTATATGCACCAAATATTCGAAGCTGCGTAAAAAGTTGCATTCTAAAGCTGAATATATAAAAGGAATTTAAATCGGGTATAAACTACATTTTTAAATTTAGCCCGACTAGATTGGGCCATTACAAAGCTTCCTTAAATTATTCATTTGTTAGTATAACATCCATTATCCATTCGTTACAACTATTGTGTAATTCAAAAAGTTGTCATATTTTACGAATTTAGAGCAAAGTGTACAAAATTTGAACTCAAAGATTCTGAAATGGCGAACCGTCGTAGCATCAAGAAGACTGCTCAAGACCGTGGCAAAAAGAAATTCATTGAAGAGCCGGTGCCGGCGTTTGATGAATCCTATACAAAACCGCAAGCACCAAATATATTCCTTTATATCCAACTGGCCAACATTTCTTCCCTGCCGACCACTATTCATCCATTGGAAATACATCTCGAGCAGGGCGGTAGTTTGATTGTGAAGTGCAGCGAGCAATACAATACTGATGGATACATTTTGCAAAATGAGTTCGATTCAAAGCCCACGTTTACACTTATTTTCCAACAGGACAACATAGATAGGATAAATCATGCCGTAGACAATCCATTGCTCATTATGCTTTATATGCGTAAGCTTGAGGTGCCACCAATGTCAGTGGAGGAGGAGAATCTGATGGATGAGGGCGAATCAGAAGAGCGTCCCGCATCCACAACAGAAGCGGAAGTGCAAATACAAAAGGAACCTGTGCGACCGAGTGTTCAATATGAGGAATCGGGAAAACATGAAGAAGATGATGATGTGGATTACTATCTAGAAAATGAGACAATGCTGCTGCTCTGTGCGGGATATTTGGATTTAATAAAGCTCTTCAGTCATCGACGCTGCATGACACGGGAAGATTTATTTTTATACCCATTCCCGGATGTACCCAACGAGTTGAGGCGGACAGTGAAAACGGAATGGCATCTATATACGTTATTACCCATAGCCAAGGAGCTGAAGTTTACGGAAATGGCTTTTATCACGTTTGAGTCCATCTACAATCTGAAGGATAACTATGTTATTGATACCAACACAATGGAGATCGACCTATCCTTTCGCTCCACGCGCCCCAATGAGCGCAACGAGTATGAGGAGATACCATTGTGTACCTTTAAGCATCTGGTCAACACCACTATCAGTAAGCAGCACATTCACCATGTCTTTGAATCCTTTCGCAGCAAGTCCTTAAACCTGCAGGAATGTAATGCCCCCGGTCTGAAGTCTGTGATGGAGGTGGAACTGCACAGACTCTTTCTAGATCTGATGCGATCCGAAGGCCTGCAAGTGGACTTCGAATACATAGATGTAGTGTATGATGATGTCATTGTCTGCAACTCCTTCCATCGCTATGCTTTGACACATGAGATGTCCAGCATATTGGTCCAGGCCATTGCCTTTCAACAGTTCGTGGTGGCCATCGATATTTGGCAGGCCGGAGAGACGCGACAAAAACTATTTCGTGGCGTTCTGGATCCAGCTATACTCGTCTATCCCAATGGTAAGCATTGTGCGCAATTCTCTTCTTTATGAAACACTTTTCTGGTAATGATCTATACAAACATAACATATGCCGCTTAAAGTGGAGCTTTAAATCATTCCCCCCTTCCCTAAGTTATCATACGACATCTCTACATAACTTTTCTTTATAAAACCCTTTTAGTGACCACCATGCGCTTCGCCGTCGAGCTCGAATATGTGGGGCCAAAGGGAAAACCCAAATCCAGGCGACAAACTTTGACGAGCCTAGCTAGCCAACGCATTAGCTCCAGTCGTAATAAACAAAACCATCCGGCGCCCAGACTTCCCACTTTTGCAATTGTAAAGATCTGCCTGTTTGCCCCATTGGGCGAAATTTCTAAGGAGCTCGTAAGACTCGGCGATAGTTGTGTCAGCCACAATCGTTTGGGCATCTGCGACCATCTTCCCTCAGATGTACATATTGTGAAATATGCGGAAATTGAACGCGAGGCTTATCGTATGTTCGATAAGTTTATGCAGGAAACAATTACATATATTGTGGAAAACGATGTCCATTCTGTGGAGGAGCGGAGAGAGTATTTTTGCTGTATCCTTAACAATTTCGCGAATATTCTTCTAAAGGTGGTGGGCAGTGATTTCAATGTTCGTGTTCCCACCAAAACTAATGTGGATTTCGCGGTAAGCCAATAACTACCTCGTCCGAAACGATATAGGAGTGTATTATCTACTCTGTAGAATCTCTGCTCTATTGCGTACAATGAGTTGGAGCTGCGAGTGCATAATATTGTTGCAAAAGTCGAAGAAGACGGATTCGAAGACGTCAGCAGTGATGAACACGCCCAGATGGATACACTCATCGATCATATGAACGCAATAAAAATCCTCTATTCCGTAAGGGCGGGGCGTATGGAAAAATTTTTGTACGAGCAGGTTAAGGGGCATTTTTTTTAATCAAAAAAAAAAAATAATAATAATAATAATAATAACCTTAACATTTTCAGATAAAACGAGAATGTCACGATCCAGACTTGCTAGACTTTTATCTTCTTATCAGTAATATGGAGCGTGGAGATTATGAGGCAGCCAAAGCCTATTTCATTTCCCCCAAAAAAGTCTCAGAAGTGCACGACTACTTTGCGTGAGTATTAAGTATTCATATACATATAGAAAATATAAATAAATCAATAAATTGTAAAAATGAGAACAAAAGAATTCATTGATACTATACAATCAAACTTCAAGACCATTGAATATAAACAAAATTGGTTCAACTGTTTTCTCATTTTAGTAATTTTGTGAATACATGTATATGTTCTATATATTTCTTTTTTCTTTTTTTCTTTTTTTACTATCTACATACTAAATGATTTATTTAGAGGCTGGATAAAGCTTTACATAACGTATGTGGATACTCGAAGTAATCCTGTAACGGCTGTTAATGCCACTGAGTGCCTTTTAAATAGTATTACTAACTATTCAGAAGAGCACTCCGCTCAGATGGACGGTTGGATATTATTGTATTGTTATTACAAACAATTCAAATATGTGCCGGGCTCTGCATATGCCCGATGGCGGTACGAGGATCAGTATAACCAGCTGCGAAGCAGCATATCGTCGGCTCCCTACAGTTTATGGGGGATTGTGCTAAATCTATATCCGAAATTCAATGACGATCGCGGATACATATTCTACGATGTTTTCAAAGTCTTTGTCCGACTCGGCCTTTACGAATTTGCCAAAGTCATATTTTCGACTGTGGAAAATCTATGCAATGAATCGGACCGCTATTTGATAAATACGACGTTAAATACTTTACTAAATCAATTGGATCCGAAGTTTACAGTTCGCCAGTTCAGTTTCGACAGTTCGGATCACGGCAAGAAAATGGTGAATAGGCTGCTAAATTATTCAAAGTTTATTTAATATACATAAATATATTTTTGTATTGCTAGAGCGCGTTTCTATCCCAGGCCAATGGTAACTTGGAATATCATCGAGGAAATATGAGTAAGGCGGCCAACTACTATCAGCGGAATCTGGAGCTGCCGGTGGCTGAAAATGAAAGAGATAGATTCCTATTAAGCGCTTTGCGGCTGGCCTATATATCGTATGATAATGGCGATTATGAGACTGCTATTAAGGCATTTTCAAAGCAAGTTTGTGGACGACTCGTGCCGCTAGTTTGTAATTATATGATTGGAAAGTCCTACTACAAGCTACAGAAATACGAAAAGGCGATCGAGTATTTTGCGCGGTGTACAAGACATAATACCCATGTACCGGACATTTGGGCCCATCTGGCTTTAGTGAACATCCATCTCGGAGACAATTATGCTGCGCTAGAATGCTGGAAGTACGCCAAAATTGTAAGCAGCTTAAAATAATAATAATAACAACATATGAAGAGAAACTTTTTTCAGGATCCGACCAAATTCATTGATGATGAAATCATCTTGGAGCTCGATAAAATTGATTTTGACGACGTCGACTTGTTTATAGACCTGCCAGCCAATAAGTGTTGAAATTGTTGCTTTCAATTATTTATATTTTGTTAGCCTATAAATATATTTTAATAGCTTCATCCAATTCCACAAAGATGACGTTAAAGATCCTAAAAATACGACTGACTAAAACAACTAAAACAATAATTGAGAAAAGTAATTAGAAATCAGTCTTCGGATTCTCTCTCTATATAGCATTTTCAAATATATTGTCCCAAGCTGCTTTACCATATTGTTGTCTTCAAATATCGAATTTGAATATCCATATCCATATTTGTTTTCTTGTAATTCAAACGCAATAAATCATGGATTGAGACCGACGTTATGTAAATATTGTGCAGGGGTTGGCATGCGTATTTTGTTTTTGTCTGTAAAGTTTTCCAGCATTATTGGAAAACAAACATTTAAAAATTACTCAGTAACTATTGATACATTCACATTTATAAGTTGTCAGTACAACTTTCTAAGGAAGCACTCAACTTAATTATAGGGTTAAGAAGTAAAGCGGAAGCGGAAATGTCTACTCATTTCGTATGCTCATATAACAGGCTTTTCAAAACAACAACGAAAACTACGTCACTCTACACTGTACAACTGCCAAATTACAAATACAGTTTTCTTAAATGATAAAAATAAACTCATACATATTTACAATTTCGCTAGAAACGTAACATTACAGTCGGCTATACTTAAAACGAATTTTACGCAGCTATGACAATTTTGTACTTTTAATAAAGCAAGTATGAGCACATTCTTATTCTAATTTATACCGACGATGAAGTATTTTCTTGTGTGTTTTGCTGCTTGGTTCAATAAATTGTTCAAATTAGTGTATTATGGCTGTTGCTGTTGCTTCATATCGAAAATAAGAAATGTTCTGTTACTGCAAAATTATAAATGAATTTATAGAACAGTATTTTCTTATTGGAGATGAACATTTTGCTTTGTCCTTTAGCCATAGGCGTGGTTCTAGTTGGCAAACTTTAATTTTCACATAATATGTCAGTAATAAATTTAAAGCTGTGGCTTTTAGCCTTTTTTAGATACTGAAAATAATTCATATAGTTCTGCGGCGAGTAGTTTTAATTCTGACTGAGTTTTTGTTTTGTAATTGAAAATATACTTTTTCCTAGTTTCTTCAGTGCCTACTACCTTCCTTACTTTTTGCCTACACAGTCGTTGTAGCCTAGGTTTACTGTAACTGCCATCGCGCAAATCCTTCTCATCACTTTGGTTTGCTAATGCGTCAATTTCTGCGAAAAATGTGTACAAACTTTGCCCCACAAAAGGCTTCGCTGGGAAGCGCAGAAAAAGCTTTTGTTGATCAGTTGAGTTGTCATAAAAAATTTTATTTACTTACAAGCTCGACGTTGCTGTGTGTGCGTGTGCGGTGTGTGTATGTGTGTGTTTATAAGCATTAGGCCAAATATATAATATTGTATAGTATGTGTGTATGTGTATATGTGTATATATATACAGCTGTGTTTACATATGAAGAACATGTACATATTGAACTAAGCATTTTATATTTGTTTGTTTTACTTTTTTCGGCTGCTGTTCGAGTCGCAGCCTGAAAGTAGGCAACAGTTTTTGGTTGTAATGGCTGCCTCTTTGTTGGTTGAGTGTGAGGAGACGACGAATGGGATTGGATTTGGGTCCGCAAGTAAAGGAATAACTATTTCAATACACCTAAATCATGTTTATCCGCAGCACTGATGGGTGCTCGCTACCGAAACCATATTAAGCCATTTCCTGTGCTTTACATGCGCCAAACGTTTAATGGCCATACCGCCTGCCGCCTGCCTTACAGCCCCGCCCATTCAAGGGGCTAGTTGTAGTTGTAGCATATAGTTGTAGTGCTTTGGCTGTCGTTGCTGTTATTTATCTTTGGCACATTCATTTGAGTTTAATAGCCCGAAAAATTGATTGTTTTTTGTGTCGGAAATGTCCAAAGGCAAGGACGAGAGACCTCGACTGTATGAAATCGATTATGTTCGCTGAAAACGCTCAAAATGCTATTTGTGCCGTTGTCGCGCCGACCTCTTGCTAAATTCCAGTCAACTGAAGCGAAAGCGTGAACGGGTTAAACTCGATTTTTCACACTTGACGCCCAACAGCATTCTTCAATCTGTAGGTTGTGGCTAGTGGAGATGTTCAGTTTCCTTTACCGCCACCGCTGTGCCGCACAAGGATAACAGTTTGCTATCGCTTTCGCGTCGCTTGGGCGGCAAACGCGTGCGCGTCATTGTGTTTTGAAGCATGGCCATGGTCTCCAAATCGTTCCCACATGGCATTTGCAGTTCGATCTTGAGGCGTGTTCGACTGATGTCCTCGCTGCCACGTCTATTGGAGCTGCGCGACAAAATGCTGGAGTTCGTAGCCGCTGTCGCATTCGAAGATGTTGTGGTATTGGTGTTGGCTCCCGTGGACATGGTGCCGCTGCGACCACGACCACCGCCAAGGCTGCGACCGAGCTGGAGCATACCGCTGGTGAATAGTCGGGCAAAGCCTTTGCGAAACTTCGAGGACATCAGATTGTACAGTATTGGATTCATGGCCGAGTTCAGATACAACATGATGCGGCAAAAGTAGAGCATGCTATAGTACCGGGCCAGACCGATATCGTGCAGGGTCTGCTCGGTGCTTAATATAATCCAAATGGTTAGCACCCGGAAGGGCAGCAGGCAGATAAAGAAGGAGAGAACGACGGCGCCAAGCATAAGCACCACCTGCTTTCTGGCCTTCAGACTGAGCTCCGGTTTCGTGGGGCGGGCACGCAACATCGCGCCCTTATTAGAGATGAGGTTCTTGGCTATAATGCCATATAGAATCAACAATATAATGAATGGCAGCACGAAGAAAAGTGATATGGTCATCAGGAAAAAGCCAATGGTCCAATCGGTGATGGCCTGCGTCAGGCAAACGGCCACCGATGATCCATCAACATACTCAACGTACTTGTACTCAGCCACCCAGAGTATGGGGCTACGCATTAAAATTGGGAAAAAGAGGGGAAGAGAAAGCAAACAAGAAACATAATCGAGTTGGAATATTCAACGTTCTCCAATAAAAAGATGGTTGGTGGTTGATGTTGGTGGCGCTGGTGAAGAGCACAGTGGAAGTGAGGCAGAGAGCGAATAAGAGAAATAGAGTGAAAGAGAGATAGGGGGATAGGGAGGCGTAGAAGCAGATGAAGCGTACACTGAGAAAAAATCAAAATAGCGCCTTTAGACGGAACGACCAACAACTGACAAGACGAATGTGTATGACGAATATGTGATGTTTTTTTCAGTTGTAAGTAAAAGCTGACCTTTATTTGTTGATTATTTTCTGTGGGTTTAATTAAAAAAGACCATCTACATACATCTTCTTTTTAGAGTAAAGTAGTCCTTTATTGATACTCCTTGAGGAGTAATTCATTCTACAGTTAAATGCAAATAGGCTTCGGTAAGTAGTATACTCGTAAAAACAACGTTTTAGACATTACGAAAGAATAGGCTTCTCTCTCCTCTCTGTGTAGGCAATAAATGGATTCAGAGTAAGTACGAATCCTAGCCGCAGTAAAATGAGACCATAGGCAACAGGCAGCCTCGAACATGAAGTGTGTGCCTGGGTGTGGAGTATGGAGTGTTTGCCCATGTTGATGAGTCCAAATGACGTGCGTCCGTTAAATGGCACACCAGCTGTGCCCGTCCGCGGGGTTTCGATTTCCTGCCGACCAGCCAGCGGGCGACAGAAAAATGGTTGGTCAATGCTGCCTATGAGGCAGGCTTCTTATGTAGCGTAATTAATGGCCCTGCCTATAGGTCTAAGTCTCTATGATGCTCCTCCTTCCCTATTGTCCATGGTCGTGGTTGTTGAAAGGTCAGGGAATGCTGGGCAATGTTCTGTTTATTTCATTGTTATGTCCACAGCAAGATATGCAATATTAAAAAGGGTCGTCTTTATACATAATAAAGTGTCAATGAAATGAAATGCCATGATAGCGGACATTGGTGCTTATTAAAGATGACAGCACACTGATAACGGGCCAGGCGTAGAGAAATTTCGGGCACTGGACAGTGGACAGCCATAGATGTTAAGGAGTTGTGGGCGAGGGGCAGGCGGAAGAAAAAAAATAAACGAGTACAAATGTTTTGAGGCGCGAAACAAACAAAAAACGCGTTGTAAGGCAAAGACAGAAACACATTAGAGATAGAAGAAGAGAGGCATAGAAAAGGAGAAGTTGCGAGGAAGGATAATATGTGGAAGTAGAGTGCAAGTAATGGCCTCTATTTAGCATGAAAATCGACATCGGTGGACGCAAAACAAAAGCCCAGAATGTCAGTAGAAAATATCACAGCAAATCGTTAAAAATGATCTGAATTAATATTAATTATGTATGTATATTATTATATGCAGATAGATGGACAGATAAATGCTGAAAGGTTTAATGCTCCACCGAATAAAGACAGGATAATGCCAGCGTTGACAAATTTAATGTGAAACAGGAAGAATAAATCATAAACAGACCAAAGCTGACAGTTCTATTCAGGCTAAAGCTGAAACCAACACCAGACCCCAGGCCAACACAACCAATGCATTTAAAGATATACATATATACCTACATATGTATATGTTACAGTAAACGCTCGTTATTAAGTATACGCTTTCTATCTATGTATTTATATGGACGTAAATTTGATCTAAACAATGCCTAGTACTCAGTGAATAAAACTAAAGCTTATATAAAGGAATAGATACTATACACAAAAAATATCAAATATAAATATTTTGCAAATAAAACAAACTTTAACATTTAATGATAAGAGTTTATCATTATTTATTAAATTCAATATATTTATTTTGAAATTGTAAATTTTTTATTGCCGCGAAATCAAAAATGTTCTAGTTTTAAATTTCCGCTTTCTTTTGATTCGAGTACTAGGATTATGTTCTATTTGAAGCAAGATAGAGACGATTCATTAAAGCTGATTCTATTCTGTGTATTTACGTGTATAATAGTTGAAGTTAGTTGAAGATTAGGTCCACAGCTATATTTTCGATTGATTCTCATTCTCATGATGTGACATGATTTGTGATTTTTTTTTGGTTATTCATATACTAAATATACAATGTGCTTTTAATTAACAAAAATATTTCTTTGAAACGTAGTCAGCCTTGAATATATATACGAGTACTTGTAGGTGTAGGAACAGTGGATGAATACAACTAATTTTCTGTGCAACAGTGGTTTCCATATGGAGCGTGTGCTGTAGCATATTATCAAATAATAATGTTAATGTTATAATTTACTTTAAGACAACAAGCAGACACAGAGAGACCAAGCGACAGACAGATAAACAGACACATAGACAGACAGGCGGACAACGAGGCAGGTTCATTGCACCGTTGTCCGAAATTAAATAAATAGCATGTATACGAGTCTATTTGTACTATGTAGGGAGTAAGTAAAGCACAGAGTCTGAAAATTGGCGCGCTTACCTCGTAAAGAGCGCCGCAATGCCCCAGGCCAGGACGCAGATGAGAATAGCACGCGCCTTGGTGCACACATAGCCGGCTTTTAATGGCTCACAGATGGCATAGTAGCGCTCGAATGAGATGGCCAGGATGGTCAGGACGCTGGCATGCGCGACAGTCAGCTCAACGAAGGGCACAGCCTTGCCTGTCGAAGAGAAACATAAGCAGAAACACCAATGGAAGGGGATAGAGTGAGAACTCGAAGGATAAGATGGCAGGCAATTAGGTCAGACACTCTACTGTCTACTCACACATCTCATGGCCCAGTACCCAGGTCTCCGGGCGCGTGTTAACCTCGACGAGCACGGTGGGCGTGCAGACGAGCAGGACCAGCAAATCGGCAATGCTGAGATTGGTCAGGAAAATGTTTGTGGAGTTGCGCATATCCTTCGTCTTCACAATGACAATGGGCACCTGGGGAGGAAAGAGGATGGGCAAATGGCAAATGGCAAAGCTCTTACGGCTGGATGAACTAAAGTAAAACCGTCAACTTCATCCAGATCTGCTAAAATATTTCTGCACGTCTAACCATAGTTTAGTTCCCTTTCGATCCGTACTTACCATAACATTGCCGACGACCCCCAGAACCATGATGACTATGCAGAAGAACATTGCGGTTGTGCGTATATACGGCGGAATCTGTGGCAGCATCTGATCAGTGTCGTTGGCATTGCTCGCGTTGCCGGTGGTTGTGGTGGCGCTGCCCTGGTAATCGGTGGTAAAGGCGATGCCTGCGAAGGCTGGAATACTATAAGTTGTGTTGTGCGCGCCATGGCGGCCACGAGAAGCGCCACGGGTTGGCACAGCGTGCTCCGGCGACGTCGCTGAGGCTGCAGACGCTGGGATTGCTGTTGCAGAAGCAACATTGCTGTCGATGCGTTGCGTGCTTGTCACTGTTGTTGTTGTGTTTGTTGTGATGGTTGTTGTTGTTGTTGTTGTTGTCGTGGTTGTTGGTACGCAGCGCAGCAGCAACAACAATAGGCTAAAGCCAATGCCGGTCAACAACTGATGCCGGAGCCGGGCCACAATTTGTGGCGGCCGAGCGCCGCCGACTCTGCCAACACCAACGCCAATGCCGACGCCGCCGCGGCCAAACAGAAATGTCGTCGTCCTGTGGGCCTGTAGGGAACGCAGCGTCTTCAATGGGCCTCGGCCACGGCCTCTCGGAAATTACATTCGTAACATTATCGCAGAATTACGTTAAGTGCGACCGGAAGCGATTTGGCCCACCCGTTGTTTAATTGAGTGGCAGGCGGCAATTGGCAATGCAAGGACCTCGGCTGATATGTGAATCTGAATTGAATGTTGTCCTCGTCCACTCCTTTTATGCCCACACTTAAACAGTAATAGGCACTAATGAAATTAAGTTGCCTGCCGGCGGAAAGTTACGTTCTTGTTGGTGTTATTGTTTTGTTGTTGTTGTCGCTTTTGTTGCTGCCCGCAGCGACATTAAACAAATCAATCAGCGCGACTCCCTGTTTGTTGTCCTCGGCAGCCGGACCAATCGGATTAGTCTGTAGTTGCAAAAATGGCCAGGATTAGTGTTTAAGTACTTGTGGCTGCCGGCGGCAGGATATCAACGTCCACTCCTAACTAACTAACTAACTAACGATAATGAATGGAAAGTTCATTAGGCGCTGTCATTTACATAATATTAAAACATCCGGCAGTACAACCAAAGGCCCAGGAAACGACCATCACCTCCCCTCCCCTTTCATGACCTTTTTCCTTGGACCCCATTGCGGTGACAGCAAACTGTTTTAATTGAATGCGGGAGTGGGGCCAGGGCGACGGCATTTGTGTCTAACGAGTAGTTTCTGGCCATGGAAAGGTCTTTGACTGCAGCACACAGAATCAAAGGAATATGAAAACCGTTTCGAGCAGAATTATTTTGTTTTTCCTTCCTTTTTTTGTAACAGGAACTGTCCACATATGTATGTAATAAAATATAATGAGCAGAAGTCCACTTTGTTTTCTCGCAGTATGTGTTTAAAAAAATCCCCCAAAAAATGTTGGAAATTTCTGCTTTAAAGCATACTCCAATGGTGTACTTGTGTATGCGTTATTATAAGTAAATAATGGGATCTCATCTCGAGCAGGAGCACCACATCTTCCCGTCTGGGCTTTTGTCGAGTGTCGCCTAACCGGCGATTATCGCCAAAGCTGCTGCCAGTCAGCAAAATGGCTTTATTAAATCTCCATTTTTGCGCAAGTCGTGCGAAGCTTAATTGTATTATGCACATACACATATATATGTACTTGTACATATATATTTATATACACACACATATACAGCCATGTCCATGCATGGATGGCTTGCGAGTAAGACCGGCTTCCGGTGTGTGGAAGCGCTTTAAGCGCAGTGTCGCCATTTTGATTAATTTGATAAATTCATTATGAGCACACCATATTGGCCTCGTCCCGACTGTCAACTGTAAGCGAATAACTAAGTTGTGTATTTTTTTTTGCGAACAGGACTGCCAACATTACTGCCTGCCTCTGAATTGAAAGGGCGCCTTTGTTTGCCATCAGCGGCATCGGGCGGCATCAGGCATCAGAGTTTTTGGGGTTCAATGACCAAATGACATAAGTTGGCAATTTGTGCCACATTTGGCTTAAAAATGTGCCTTTAACGAGGCAATGATTACGATGATAACGGTAATGATAATACTTTAACTCGAAATATACAAAGAAGGTCTGCCACAATGATATTGTGAATAGGCTGGCTATTGGACATAATTGTTTAAAAAGTTTGTGAAACAAAACGCCTTCAGATAAATGAAGCAAGAAGCAACTTGCTGTTTTTGTTGTTGTTGTTGTTGTTGTTGCTGTTATTGTTGCTTTTGTTGCCACTCATTTTCATGGGCCACACAGCTGCTGTGGCCACAACAACAACAAGAACAACAACAATAGCCACAAATATGCGTCGCTTGCATGTAAATCCAAAACAGTTTATGGTTTACGGCAAAATCCCAGCTGCTTTGGTCGCTTACTTACATGCCAATGCCAGTTTTTGATGAATAACTTGCGGCTTCCCGGGAACTTTATATTAACACACACACACACACATGTGCATACATACATACATATGTACAGTTTGTGAAGAAAGTGTGGTTACATGACAAACCAAATGACAGTTTTATATTTTTCTCTCTCAGTTATATTTAGAAAGCATGGGAAAATATATTGTTTATGAAATGTAATATGCACCTAATTCTGTTTTTACACGATCTTTTTTTACATGGTCTTGATTTAAAAACGGTTTGAAAATTAAAAAGTTCATATACTTGTATGTATATTTCTTTAGAGATAAGAAACCAATCACATATTTTTGCATATTTTCAATGTTTTCATTCACGACTTTTTCTGGAACCAATCTACAGAATTATGTGTACTCGTATAGTTTGATTTATTGTCAATAACGAGCTAAGAACTAATCTTTGTTTGAGCCGTAGCTACATATATTCCCTTCACTTTGCCTTTTTATAGCTTTATTGGGGGAAATGGGCTGGAAATTGCAGAAAAACAGACCTCTTTTCATGGACAAATATTTTATAACATTTCTTGCATTTCGTCATTCATCACGAATTGCGGGATCAACAAATGGTGGGTACAGCGAAAAAAAGCGTAATATTCAATATGGTTCCAAAGTCTTAAAAAACAATTCGTTTTTCATGGAAGAACTCTTTCTAGTTTACAACGCTATATCTTTCTGCGTTGTTTTAACAAAAATGTGTTTCAAAATATGTTTTATTCTAAGTTTAGGTACAATTGTAATAAAATGCACGTCATACATATACTTTCAAGACTAACTGTATTCAGAAGAGTGTGTATTTGTGTGTGTGTGTGGGCAACACTTCGTATAATTTTTGCTGGGATTTGAATGCTTGAGGTTAAAAGCTGTCGATGATCATGGAAATTGAGCGCTTTAGTTAATGGCAGTTGCTCGCGTGTCGCTGTCGATGTGTCAAGTGTTTTCCCCCACACGCACACACATATACATACACACACACACTTATGCCAGCGAGTGTAACGTTTTTTATGGTATTTAAGATTGAACGGAATTTATTGCTGACACCCTAATAAAATTAACATTGAAATGGCAATTTGAGGCAGCAATAAGCGCCAGACTAGCGTCTTACACACAAACCTACACACACACACACATACATATATATATATATATATATATATACGTCACGCACACACACACATATGCACACATGCGCATATCTAATCAATTTATCGTTCAATAATAAGCCAGTAGCTGGATATTCGGTTTGAAGCCACTTTTGACAAATCGTAAACAAAACCAAAAAACAGAGCGGAAAGTACAAAAAAAGGAAAAGCAAAAGCTAAAACGTTATTGCTACATAGATACCCTTTACAGACTACATACTCGTACATAACTTTTTGTTTTTGATTTTTTATTAAGACAGTTTTCACTCTTATAAGTCGAGCTTAAGAAATAAAAGTTTTAGCTTTTCAATCAGCATTTTTTATTCCTTTTTAGTAAAATAGAGTTTTAACATTTGAAGGGCATAGAAGCCATTGCTAATTTAATTCTTTTCTGTTTTAAGATTTTAATTTTAAGCTAGCATTATATAAATAAATATATTTTTTGAAGGTCAAATTGCACCAAATATCCAAATTAAATTTAAATGCCTTTCCATTTGCACTTAAATTAATTATTACTAAAGTAATATAAGAAATCACAATACAATAGGAGAAAATATATTGTGAAAAATAAAGCGATGTTTTCTCACTAAAAACATTTTGGGAACAACATATCTTTTGCCCCTCTTGAATAATTTTTTTATTACAACTAACACAATTAAAAATAAAGAATATTAATTGTGGGTTAATTTTGAAAAGTATCAAAAGAGATCAAATACTAAATATTTTAAACCAAACTATTCTTGTAATTACAATATTTAAAGCGTTTTTATGCCTAACTGTTGAGAATGTTGCATGCATGATATATTTAAATATTCAAGTCCATTAATCTAATAAAAGCATTTCTGCTAAAAATATTACAACATATTTTGATAAAAACGTATTTATACAATTTAGTTTGTTTAGTGGAATGTGCTAATAAATAAACAAAAATATCGGTATATGGCCTTTTTACTTAAAGTGTAGAGTATAATCAAAATTAAAGACATTCACAATTGGCTTGGATGTGGAGTGTATGTGTAGTTCTTCTCGCGCTTTAAGCGTTGACATTCTTGAACACTCCACTCCATAAGCCGCCAACACATTTGGTCCACACTGCTGGCCCCCTTGTGGTTGTGCGGTGGTGGCCCCAAGCCTGGCAGTGGAGTGGCAAACGCTAAATAAATTGAAATGACTTCGTAATTGTATTTGCGACTCTGGCAAAATTAAATCTAACTAGTTGGCATGCCAACGCTTAGCCACATGAGCAAAAGTAGCAAAAGCAGCAACAACAATGGCAGCAGTTCGTGTGGAACCACCAATAACAACAACAACTGAAGCTTAAGCCAACGAACAAAGCGACATAAAAACCAAAAGCTTGTTTTTCAATTTAAGACCTGGGATGGGAACTAAATTGTTGGAAAGAAAGTAAAATAAGTGTATGTCCTTTAATTGTCCAATGAATGGCAATTAGCTCGACTATTCCTGGCATTCTG